AAGAAGGTTTTCTGAATTAATACTGCAGCTCGTGGAATCACTCAAAAGCTCACGTGATTCGCAGCCAAGAATGAACGTGTTTCTGCAGACCAAGCCCAGTGGTAACCTCGCCCCACCGATGCCGCGCGCTGATTCCTGACCGCACCAGCGTCAAACGCGCGCTTCCGCAGCAATCCTCGCTTAAGGCGTCACATGAATGAGGGCGCACACACATGACTCTTCAGGGCACGTCGGCTCATACGTGCACCCGCTCCCCGAGCATTTACACGGAGCAGCTGCACACAACGTGAGCACGACACATGAGCTGCGTCCCGCAGCATCAGCAAACACACAACGATTTGCATGCTCGGGGCGCGCGTTTTTTCTTTCTCCATCAGCGCGCACCAGCTCACATCAGCATGCATGTGAGTTCACAGCATCAACGCGTGCCCGCTTTATAACTTTATAATGAGTGGCAATGAGCGCGCGCTCCAGACGGATAGGCGAACTGTTTTCATCTGGGGATTCACGCTGCAGTACAGCTCAAACCTGGTGCGGAGGAACTCTAATGACGTTTTCTGTCATTTCTAGAACAGATCTCGTCCCCTCTCGCAGAAGCTCAGGAAATTCTGATTAAAATGTAATTTCTAGAGTCTCAGAAAGAGAGGAAAACGCAGGGTTCCTCTCTCATCACTCCCTGGTCCCAACGAACTGGAAAGATGAGATTTATTCTAGATTTGTCAATTTTGAACTGTGAGAAACAACATTCCATTAATGTGCCCGAGCCGCTCTGCAGCAGCCGCACAGAGCAGGGAGGAGGATGCTGCTTTATCTGGACATCTGCTGCTGCTAAGCAGTTTGTACAGACAGGTGGCAGCAGTGCAACTCACGTGAACCAGCTGAGTGATATCAGCTGTTTCCGTCAGCAGACCTACGTCACACATGTCAGATTTCACAGAGGCACACACATTTAAAGAGCTGTGGGGGCGCTGTGGTTCTCCACACAGCAGCTCATTTAAATGTTTTTGGAGTGTCGCACGTTTTTTTTTTTTATGTGATTCAACACTTGCCTTGAGCTGCAGAATCATCAGGGTTTTTGATTCACACAGACAGCAAGTGACTGTTGCACACATACTGGCAGGAGATGTATGCGCTCAACCCATGTGCCACATTGTGAGACAGATGCTGTGTGGGGCACACCCAATCTGCTCTCCATTGGAGTAGGGTACATCTCATGTATTCTGAACAGGGGACGGATGTGATGTCCAAAGACGGTCCTTTGCGGCACGGGGACCTGGGACCTTCCACCCAGAGCTATGGCTCAGACACGGCAGAAATCCTGCGAGCGGCTGTGGACATGTAGCAACACGAGAGAACGCTCACTGTCAACTATAATTATCATGGAGCCACGGGACGATCCACCACTAGGGGTGGACGTGTCTGCTCACAGCCTGTGGTCGTAATGCTTCTTCACCTCCCTCTCTCCCTCTGATATCACGGTTTTCTGAACCGAGCTCAGGAGGAGGGACTGACAGCTCTTTAGTCCCAAGTGCGTGAACGCATCATGGTTCCCAGGCCTACGACACTTGTTATCGGGGCGCTCGTGGAACCTGCCGTGGAGGGAGGACGCTCTCCTCCAGGCGGGAGGAGCGATCAGGAGTTAATCAGAATAGGCTAGCACCTGTGGTATGGCCGCTGTGCGGATCCTTTTGAGAGGATGGATCTCTCTCAAGATGTAGTGCGTACGATTCAGGATTCACGTGCTGCAACCACCACAGCGCTGTTCACATCAAGTGGTCAGTTTTTCAGCGCTGCTGTACAGAGAAAGGTGTAGAGGCCATTTCATGCTCACTAGGTGATGTGCCGTCCTTTCTGCAGCAGCTGATGGACAGAGATCTGGCGTTCAGCTCGTGTAAAACGTTCACTGCGGCCATCTCTTTCTGTCACGAAATTTTCGAGACAGAACAGCTTTAATCATCTGCTGATGAAACGTTTTGTAAAAGGTGTACAGAGAAGGCGTAGAGGCCACTTCATGTCCACTGGACGACATGCTGTCCTTTTCTGCAGCAGTCGATGGACAGAAATCTGGCGTTCAGCACGATTATCGTATGCTGCGGCCATGTTTTCTTCTTGTCTCAAAGTTGTCGTAGACAGAACAACCTTTAATCATCCTCTGACGGAGCATTTTGACTCAGATTGAAATAGCAGCTGTGGGCCTGTTTGCGACATGAGGAAACGCTCAGTGTCAATTATGGTTTTCCCTGAGCCGCGAGACGAACCACCGCTGGGGGTGGATGCTTTTGCCCACAGCCCATGGCCCAAAATGTTTCTGTACACGTTTTCCTCTACCTCCTCTGATTTTACGGTTCCTGAACCGAGTTCAGAAGGAGGGATTGACAGCTCTCCTGGTGGTCCCCGAACGCGTGAGCGCACCATGGTTCCCAGTTCTGCAACGCCTGCTGTCGGGGCGCCTGGGGAAACTGCCGTGGAGGGAGGACGCTCTCCTCCAGGCAGGAGGAGCGACCAGGAGTTACCCAGAAATAGGCCAGCACCTGTGGGTCTGGCCGCTGAACAGATCCGCTTAGAGAGGATGGGTCTCCCACAGGATGTAGTGTGCACAATTCAGGTTTCACGTGCTGCATCTACCACAGCGCTGTACACATCAAGCAGACAGCTTTTCAGCGCTGGTGTACAGAGAAGGGTGTAGAGGCCACCTCATGCCCATTAGGTGGCATGCTGTCCTTTCAACAACAGCTGATGGACAGAAATTTGGCATTCAGCACAATTAAAACGTACGCTGCAGTCATCTCTTCCTGCCACGAAGGATTCGGAGACAGAACAGCTTTTAATCATCCGCAGATGAAGCGTTTTCTAAAAGGTGTACAGAGACGCAGGCCTGTTTCACACCCACTTGCTCCACAGTGGGATTTAACACTGGTCCTGCAGGTCCTGATCAAAGCTCCATTTGAGCCTCTGGATCAGGTTCCAATTAAATTCTTGTCTCTTAAAACAGCCCTGCTGCTGGCTTTAACATCCGCTAAGAGGGTGAGTGATTATCTGCCCTCTCTGTTGCTCCGTCATGTCTCAGAATTCAAGCTGACGGCAGCTCAGCTGATTTAAGACCAAACCCAGCTTTTATGCCTAAAACATCACAAGCTCCTTTAAATCAAGAGCGATATTGTTGGAGGGGTTTCTCTCCCCCCCTTCACCCACAGATAAGAAGAAGTAGCGTCTTTCCATCTTCTCTGTCTCGGGCGTTGACGAGTTACATAACACGCACAGCTGCAATGCGTCAAACTCAACATTTGTTTGTGCATTATAGAGATGCACCTGCAGGTCGCCTGTTATCCACCCAGCGCTTGTCACACTGGCTGTGTGAGGCCATTTCTGAAGCCTACAGAGCATCAGATTTAGAGCCTCCTGTCAACCTCAGAGCACACTCGATCAGGGGTGTTGCATCTTCGACTGCTTTGCATAATGGTATGACAATGCAGGACATTTTGCACTGCGGCCGCGTGGTCAACACCCTGCTCATTCATTCGCTTTTATCTACGTGATGTGACGGCCCGTTCCATGACACATTCTGTCCTTAGTGCTCTAACAGAATGAATATTGTTGTTTTCATGGAACCCTGTTTAAGCTCACATCTGTCTGCATGCATTACAGTGTGAGATGTTATCAGTCACAAGTTGTGTCTGTTATTTTGGTTCTATTGTCACTAATCAGTTCATGACTATTGTTACCAATCAGTTCATTTGATTATAATCAGCTCTCCTGTTATTATTAATCTGTTCATACGGTTCAGCCGTAAACCGGTTGGTTCATGGCTCTTTTCAGCAGTTTTCCCTCCCCGTTGAAGTTTCCGGGGCGTTCATGCATTCAGAACGCATAGTTACACAACATGCGTCTGTGCATGGCACACATAATTACGCAATGCGTAATTACGCACATGCGGAGCTGAGTGACAAGATGTTTTTCGGGCAAGCTTCTGCTTCATACGGTGTTCGAATGGACCCAGTGAGGCGTGGACAACATCCGCTTCGCCCTTAAACCATCAGTGACAGCCTTAAAGGGCGAAGCCTATACGAAATAGAACATTGGTTATGTACTGTAACCCCAGATTCTATGAATATAGGCGTAGCCCTTTAAGCGTCGGGCCTCACTGGCTCCTAAATGGCTGAAGAAAAAGCTATTTGGGAGCCGATTACCCGCTCTTAACGTAATTTATACGGACCGGGTGAGGCCCACACAGCAGGTGGGCGTGGACTAAATTTTTCAGTGCAATGCTTTGCATATCGGGATAAACCCATCAGCGACAGCCTTAAAGGGCTACGCCTATATTCATAGAATCTGGGGTTACAGTACGTAACCAACGTTTTCTGTATTCAGGTTGAGCCTTGTTCTTCTTCTGATGCAGGACAGTATCCAGGTCCATCTGAAGGGTGGAACTGGTCCAGTCATGGTGATGACCTCTGACATGGGGACAATTGAACCGTCAGAACAGGAAAGCGGTTGCTTCTTAAAGCTGGAGGAGAGTCGGATAGATACAAGCGAGCACCACAGAGGTACTGAGACTGAACAGCTGACACCAAGGCAGCAGGGTACAAAACCCAACGCTCCGCCTGCTCTGTGAACAGAAAGCTGAAGGTCCGTTTGGACCAAGTCAACTTTGTTGTTGGTTCATGAAAGTGTTTTCTTATCTCGGTTCTGATCGATTTGCTGCAGGTTCGCAGAGATTCATCCAGAGTGTGTAACGCCGGCCTTACCTCTAGAAGGTGCCAGAAGTCCTTAAGAGTCCTGCAGAGGAAGGTTTACTGTCTGTCCCCTGGTCCAGTGGATCAGAACTGCTGAGATTCACCACACTTGTAAAGGTGAAGGAACTGAGTTGACAAACTGGATCACTTTTCATTCTGAGGGTTATGTTAGGTGAGACCGGAGCCCTCGAGTCAACGGGTCAGGAGGACGATGATAAAGGTCATGAAGCCGGAGCTGTTTTGTGAGGTTCTACGGTCCCTCAATGTTTGGATCATGTTTGCTGTAAAATATTTTGTTGTTTTTGAATAAAGAAAAATGTATTTACATCTTTAAACTTCACATTAAAAGTTTAAAAAATGTACAGGGAAACAGAAAGTCTGTCCAAAGTACTTAACCGATAAAAACTGTTTTAGATTTGTGTCCTGTACTCTGTGACCTCTGACCTTTGTGTTGCTTTGAAGTTCAAATTCAGTTAGTTTGTTTCTGTAGCTCCAAGTCCCAAAAGAAGTCGTGTCAGGTCTCTGAACAGAAACATGCACAATTCAGTAAAGTTCTGTATCTGAGGAAGCAGCAGGTCGTGTTGAATCTTCACTGCAAAGCAAGAATAGAGGAGACAGTGGGAAGAAAAAAACTTCCTTTAACAGGAAGAAACCTCCAAAAGAACCAGACTCAGGACCATCTGCTTCGACCGGCTGGGTCTGAAAGGACAGACACAGAATGACAGGTCCAGGAGTACTTTCTATAGTCCAGGAGTACTTTCTATAGTCCAGGTGTACTTTCTATTGTCCAGGTGTACTTTCTATGGTCCATGAGTACTTTCTTTGGTCCAGCAGTACTTTCTATGGTACTTTTTATGGTCCAGCAGTACTTTCTGTGGTCCAGGAGTACTTTCTATAGTCCAGGTGTACTTTCTATAGTCCAGGAGTACTTTCTATGGTCCAGGAGTACTTTCTATGGTCCAGCAGTACTTTCTATAGTCCAGCAGTACTTTCTATGGTCCAGGAGTACTTTCTATAGTCCAGGAGTACTTTCTATAGTCCAGGAGTACTTTCTATGGTCCAGCAGTACTTTCTATGGTCCAGGAGTACTTTCTATGGTCCAGCAGTACTTTCTATGGTCCAGGAGTACTTTCTATAGTCCAGGTGTACTTTCTATGGTCCAGGAGTACTTTCTATAGTCCAGGAGTACTTTCTATAGTCCAGGAGTACTTTCTATAGTCCAGGTGTACTTTCTATTGTCCAGGTGTACTTTCTATGGTCCATGAGTACTTTCTTTGGTCCAGCAGTACTTTCTATGGTACTTTTTATGGTCCAGCAGTACTTTCTGTGGTCCAGGAGTACTTTCTATAGTCCAGGTGTACTTTCTATAGTCCAGGAGTACTTTCTATGGTCCAGGAGTACTTTCTATGGTCCAGCAGTACTTTCTATAGTCCAGCAGTACTTTCTATGGTCCAGGAGTACTTTCTATAGTCCAGGAGTACTTTCTATAGTCCAGGAGTACTTTCTATGGTCCAGCAGTACTTTCTATGGTCCAGGAGTACTTTCTATGGTCCAGCAGTACTTTCTATGGTCCAGGAGTACTTTCTATAGTCCAGGTGTACTTTCTATGGTCCAGGAGTACTTTCTATAGTCCAGGAGTACTTTCTATAGTCCAGGAGTACTTTCTATAGTCCAGGTGTACTTTCTATGGTCCAGCAGGACATTTTTCAAATACACATCTTTAAGATGGCCCCGCTGTGTCTGGCACGCCGTCCACCTCTGTTGTCTTCGCTACTTGTGTTTTTGCTTTTCTTAGTATTTTTGCTTTTCTTAGTATTTTTACCTTCAGTATGGTCTCTGTCAAAGCTACTAGCGTACGATCGCCAGGCACTTTTAAATATTAGAGACTTTAAGCAGAACTTATCAACTAACTTTGGCAAACATTCTCAGCTTCCATTGCCGCACCTTGCTTTGGTGCCTACCTGTTTATGGCGTTCTCTCGCCACGCTGCCCTCCAGGAGCCGCCGACGACGTGGAAGGAGAAGCGGACTTCTTGTCAAACTCCGGATACGGGATTTTAGCTCCCACGGCATTCACAACCGGCTAACAAGGGATTGCTATCATTGGCTCCGGCCAGTTGACCCGGACGCCAGCTGCCCACGCCCCCACTGCCGGCTCGTTGGGACCCGCACCCGGAGCTGCGTTCAGGGGAACCTCCGTCCGCTTGACCGTGGATGTCGGCAAACAGTAACTCTGTTCGTTTGGCACTGATTAACATAGATCACTAATTAACAAAACATTTATCATGAATGACTTTTTCTCCTCTCACACACTGGATTTTCTTTTGTTGACGGAGACTTGGATGAAACCAGATGAGAACAGTGCCTTCTCGGAGCTCCTCCCACCTGGCTGCTCCTTCCTCAGCTCCCCCCGTCTCACGGGTCGCAGTGGGGGGGGGGGCATTGCCTCAGCTTTTAGAGACAATTTCAAATATAGACTTCTACCTGCCAGAACATGTTCTTCTTTTGAGTTACAGCTGTTCATGGCTGAGCTGACACAGCCTGTATTATTTGGAATTGTCTACCACCCACCTAAATATAATAAGGACTTTATTCAACAATTTTCTGAATTTTTAGCTGACTCCATCCCCAGATTTGATAATCTGCTGATCTGTGGAGATTTTAATATTCATGTTTGCTGCCCGTCTGATCAGTTAGCCTCTGATTTTATCAATCTTTTAACATCTTTTAACTTAACACAGTCTGTACATGGGTCTACTCATCTTCTTGGACATACCTTGGACTTTATTATATCTCATGGGCTGTCCATCTCACTCTGTGAAACATCTGAAACAGCCATCTCAGATCATTTCCCCATCATGTTGGAGTTTTCAGCACCCCTACCAGTCAGTAGGCCTGCCGTTGCGGGTCATTGGCATCGTATTTTTACTCCTGAGACAGCTGGACTGTTTACTGCTGCTTTTATGGACTTTCAGACTTTTGTTTCCAATGAACTTTGTCCAGATGGCTTCCTTCTCTCTTTCCAAACCACTTGCTCTGAAATTTTAGACTCCATCGCTCCTCTTCGGTTTAAATCCACCAAACCGAGAGCTGAACCGTGGTTAAATGACGCCTCTCGTGCTCTCAGGAAAAAATATAGGAAAGCAGAACGACAATGGAAGAAAGACAAACTTCTTTCATCTCTTAAATTTTTGAGAGAATGCCTTACAAACTACCAGAGATCTGTAAAAGAGGCAAAATGTTTATATTTATCTGGTTTAATTTCAAATAACTGCCATTGTCCTAGAGTGCTATTTAACACAATTAATTCTGTTATTAAGCCAGCTGTGCGTATTTCACCAGATGCCACAGCCACTAACTGTGAAAACTTTCTAAAATTCTACCAGGATAAAGTGGCCTCAGTCAGACAGGTCACTAGTTCTGTTGCTCCTGACTCCTCTGTTGCCTCTGTAGCTCCAGTCGTGTTTGAACACTTTCAACCAGTGTCTCTTGCCACTCTCACTGATGTTGCTCAACACATGAAGCTCACTAATTGCCCACTGGACGTTCTTCCCTCCAAGTTTTTGAAAGAGGTTTTTAATTCTGTGGGTTTCTGTATTTTAACATTTTTAAACTCCTGCCTTCGTCTAGGAATTGTCCCTGCTGCATTTAAACATGCTGTTGTTAGGCCCCTTCTTAAAAAACCTCACCTAGACCCATCACTTTTATCAAATTTTAGACCTATTTTGCATCTGCCTTTTTAGCTAAAGTCTTAGAAAAAGTTGTTTTTATGCAGTTACAACCTGTTTTAGAAAACCATGGTATCTATGAAATATTTCAGTCTGGATTTAGAACCCGTCATTCTACCGAATCAGCCCTGTTAAAAGTCCATAATGACATTTCCATGTCCATGGATGTCAAGTGTCCCGTTGCTGTGGTGCTGCTGGACCTTACAGCTGCGTTTGACACAGTGGACCACACTGTCCTTTTGTCTCGTCTTCAACATTATGTTGGAATTTCTGGTACAGCTCTCAAGTGGTTCACTGCTTATTTGACTAACAGAACGTTCTCTGTCATGCTGAATAATCTGTCTTCCTCCACTGCCCCTCTCTCTTGTGATGTGCCACAGGGTTCTATTCTTGGTCCTGTTCTCTTCTCATTGTACATGCTGCCCCTTGGATCAGTGATAGCCAAACATTATTTTTCTTTTCACTGCTATGCTGATGATCTACAAATTTATTTAATTCAATTCAGTTTATTTATAAAGCGCCAAATCACAACAAAGTTGTCTCAGGGACTTTACAGGAACATTCACATAAAAGCCAGTTAGTAAAGTTCTCTATCTAAGGAATCCAGCAGACAAGTTGAATCTTGGCTTCATTGCAGTCTCCCATCCTGAGCAAGCACAGTGGAGACAGTGGAAAGAAAAACTCCCTTTAACAGGAAGAAACCTCCAGCAGAACCAGCTCAGGACAAGAGGCCATCTGCTTTGACCGGCTGGTTGAGAGGACAGGAAGGAGAGACAGACGAACACAGAATGGTAGGTCCAGGTATAGGTCCAGGTCCAGATATAGGTCCAGGTCCAGATATAGGTCCAGGTGTATCTGAAAGACAAAAAAAACAAGTTAAGGATAGAAAAAATAATTACAAATACAAAACAGGTTGAGCAGAGTAAGTAAAGACAGTAGCAGAGTGAAATTTGTGGTCAGTTTGTCCTCCAGCATGTCAGGGTTTGGTGGACAGGAACGAACCCAGTAGCGCAGACAGGACTCAACTCGGCAGATTACAAAAATAAGTATTTTAATGATGACTAACAAAGTAACAAAATAATAAGCTGACGAGGCAGCAACACTTACAAAACTTAGAAGACTCAGGAGGGATACTCAAACGGGACTCAGGAAGCTCAGGAATACTCAGGAGACACAGGAGAACACTGAAGACCCAAACGAATACGACGCGACGAAGAACAAGACAGAACAGACAGCTTTTATACAAGGACAAAACGAGACGTGATTACAAACAGCTGTGACGAGACAAGGGTGACACCAATTAAGCTGACGAGGAAACACTAGGGAAACACAGACACAAACAGAACCAGTAAATGGTACCATCCTTACAGTACCCCCCCCTCAAGGACGCCTCCAGGCGTCCCCCAGAAAACCCCCCCTCCCGAAGGACTTGGGCGGGTGGAGGGCGGCACTGCAAGGGTGGGGGGCCAGAGGAAACACACGAGGACCAGAGAAAAGACACGAGGGATCACAAAGAACGAGACACGAGGGGCCAAAGAGAACGAGGAACCAGAAAAGGGACATGAGGAGCCACAGAGAGCGAGGACATGAGGAACCAGAAAACGAGGAGCCAGAGAAAAGGACACGAGGAGACAAGGAGAAAAAGGGACGAGGATTTCCAAAGAACGAGACACAAGGAGCAAAAAGGACTCGAGGAGAAAAACAAGACACGAGGAGCAAAAGGACACGAGGAGCCAAGGAGAAAAACAAGACACGAGGAGCCAGAGAACACAAAACACTAGGAGCCAGAGAAAAACAAAGAAACACGAGGGATCACAAGGAATATGGACGGTCAAGGGACCGTCCCTAAAGTCATTGTTCAGGGGGGCGGCCGGGAGGCCGTCCAACACGGGACCATCGTTCA